TCCTGCCCCCTGCCTGCTCCCTGCCCTCTTCCTGCCCACCCTACTGCCCCTGCCCCCCCAACCTGCAGCCTGCCTGCCCCACTGCCTGTGCTCCCAGCCCTCCATCTTCCTGTGTGCCCATTGCCCTGCTGCCTGCATCCTGCCTGCTCCCTGCCTGCCCCCGGACCCCCACTTTGCCCACACCCTGCCCTGGTGCCCGCTCCCTGCCTGCCCCACTGCCCCACTGCCCACACCTTGCCTGGTCCCTGCCCATTCCCTGCCCATTCCCTGCCTCCGCCCCTGCCTGCAGCCCCTGCCTGCACCCTGCCTGCCTGTTAACCCCTGCTTGTCCCCCTGCCATCACCCTGCCCCACTGCCCCCCCAGCCCCTGCCCTCACCCTGCCTGCCCCACTGCCCATCCCCTGTGCCCCAGGGGCACCTGCTGTTCCGAGCACCCCAGCCCTGAAGCTGTGGGGTGCCCCACTTCCCTGCTCCCCCCAGCACCCATGGGTGTCTCTGGCTGGCTGTGGGGCAGGCAGGGTGCGGGGGGGGGGGTGGGTGGAGCGGCTGTGCCCGTGTGGGGGTGCCCGTGTGGCGATGGACGGCCAGGCCCGGGGCTCGGTGGTGGCTGTTGTGTAATTCCTGTGTAATTCCGGCGATGTTGCAGCCTGGCCGGGGGGTGGGAAGGCTCGCTTTATTTTTGCCTTCCCAGCGTGGCGGCGGCACCGGGCTCAGCGTCCCCTCCTGGGGCTGGGGGCTGGCACTGTCACCTGCTCCCCCCCGTGCCCCCTCGCCCTGTCCCCCTGTGCTGGAGGTGGTCGGTGGCGGTGGCTCCTGCCCCGGCGCAGGGGCACGGGGCTGGGGGGGCCATGGGGCACCCTCCCGGGGCTGCGGCGGTGATGGGTGCAGGAACGGGGTGCAAGGATGCGATGGGGGAGCACGCTTTGGGAGGGGGCTGCAGGAATCTGGTGTGGGAGCGTGGTTTGGGAGCACGGAGCGGGAATACGGTCTGGGAGCACGGTGCAGGATCGCGGTGCAAGGATGTGATGTGGGAGCGTGGTTTGGGAGGGAGCTGCAGGAATCTGGTGCAGGAACAGACTTTGGGAAGGGGCTGCAGGAATCCGGTGCAGGAACAGACTTTGGGAAGGGGCTGCAGGAATCCGGTGCGGGAGTGTGGTTTGGGAGCACGGAGCGGGAATCTGGTCTGGGAGCACGGTGCAAGGATGCAATGGGGGAGCGTGGTTTGGGAGGGGGCTGCAGGATTCTGGTGCGGGAACATGGTTTGGGAGCACGGAGCGGGATCGCGGTGTAAGGATGCGATGTGGGAATGTGCTTTGGGAAGGGGATGTAGGATTCCAGTGCAGGAACGTGGTTTGGGAGCACGGAGCAGGAATACTGTCTGGGATCACGGTGCGGGATCACAGTGCAAGGATGTGATGCGGGAACGTGGTTTGGGAGCACGGAGTGGGAATATGGTCTGGGATCGCGGTGTAAGGATGCGATGCGGGAGCGTGGTTTGGGAGGGGGCTGCAGGAATCCGGTGCAGGAACGTGGTTTGGGAGCATGGAGTGGGAACGCGGTGTGGGATCGTGATAAGGGAGGATGTGCAAGGATGTGAAGTGGGAAAGTCCTTTGGGATCACGCTGCAGGAATCTGGTGTGAGAGGACGGTGCGGGATCGCGGTGTAAGGATGCGATGCGGGAACGCGCTTTGGGAAGGGGCTGCAGGATTCCAGTGCAGGAACGTGGTTTGGGAGCACGGAGCAGGAATACGGTCTGGGATCACGGTGCGGGATCATGGTGCAAGGATGTGATGCGGGAGTGTGGTTTGGGAGGGGGCTGCAGGAATCTGGTGCGGGAATGTGGTTTGGGATTGTGATACAGGAGGACGGTGCAAGGATTTGATGTGGGAACGTGCTTTGGGATCACGCTGCAGGAATCTGGTGTGGGAGGACGGTGCAGGATCGCGGTGCAAGGATGCGATGTGGGAGCATGGTTTGGGAGGGGGCTGCAGGAATCCAGTGCGGGTACATGGTTTGGGAGCACAGTGTGGGATCGTGATACAGGAGGACGGTGCAAGGATTTGATGTGGGAACGTGCTTTGGGATCACGCTGCAGGAATCTGGTGTGAGAGGACGGTGCAGGATCGCGGTGCAAGGATGCGATGTGGGAGCATGGTTTGGGAGGGGGCTGCAGGAATCCGGTGCAGGAACATGGTTTGGGAGCACGGAGCGGGAATACAGTGTGGGATCACGGTGCGGGGTCATCGTGCAAGGATGCGATGCGGGAGCGTGGTTTGGGAGGGGGCTGCAGGAATCTGGTGCGGGAACGTGGTTTGGGAGCATGGAGTGGGAACGCAGTGTGGGATTGTGATAAGGGAGGATGTGCAAGGATGTGATATGGGAAAGTCCTTTGGGATCATGCTGCAGGAATCTGGTGTGGGAGGACGGTGCGGGATCGCGGTGCAAGGATGCGATGCGGGAGCGTGGTTTGGGAGGGGGCTGCAGGAATCTGGTGCGGGAACGTGGTTTGGGAGCATGGAGTGGGAACGCAGTGTGGGATTGTGATAAGGGAGGATGTGCAAGGATGTGATATGGGAAAGTCCTTTGGGATCATGCTGCAGGAATCTGGTGTGGGAGGACGGTGCGGGATCGCGGTGCAAGGATGCGATGCGGGAGCGTGGTTTGGGAGGGGGCTGCAGGAATCTGGTGCGGGAACGTGGTTTGGGAGCATGGAGTGGGAACGCAGTGTGGGATTGTGATAAGGGAGGATGTGCAAGGATGTGATATGGGAAAGTCCTTTGGGATCATGCTGCAGGAATCTGGTGTGGGAGGACGGTGCGGGATCGCGGTGCAAGGATGCGATGCGGGAGCGTGGTTTGGGAGGGGGCTGCAGGAATCTGGTGCGGGAACGTGGTTTGGGAGCATGGAGTGGGAACGCAGTGTGGGATTGTGATAAGGGAGGATGTGCAAGGATGTGATATGGGAAAGTCCTTTGGGATCATGCTGCAGGAATCTGGTGCGGGAACGTGGTTTGGGAGCATGGAGCAGGAATACAGTCTGGGATCATGGTGCGGGATCACAGTGCAAGGATGCGATGCGGGAACGCGCTTTGGGAGGGGGCTGCAGGATTCCAGTGCAGGAATGTGGTTTGGGAGCATGGAGCAGGAATACAGTCTGGGATCATGGTGCGGGATCACAGTGCAAGGATGCGATGCGGGAACGCGCTTTGGGAGGGGGCTGCAGGATTCCAGTGCAGGAATGTGGTTTGGGAGCATGGAGCAGGAATACAGTCTGGGATCATGGTGCGGGATCACAGTGCAAGGATGCGATGCGGGAACGCGCTTTGGGAGGGGGCTGCAGGAATCCGGTGTGGGAACGGGATTTGGGAACGCTGTGCGGGACCGCGGTGTGGGAGTGCGGTGCAGGAACACGGTCCAGGAGCGCGGCGCGAGGATGCGATGTGGGAATGTGGTTTGGGAACATGCTGCAGGAACACGGTGTGGGAACACGCTACGGGGATGCGGTGTGGGAATCGGTGTGGGAATGTGGTGCAGGAGCTGCAAGAATGTGGTGTGGGAGTGGGGTGTGGGAATGTGGTACGGGAATACGGCACGGGAATGCGATGCAAGGACACGGTGCAGGAGTGTGGTGTGGGACCTGGGAAGAGGGAACGCGGTGCGGGACCACGGTATGGGAGCACTGGGAGACGGGCACTTGCCTCCCTCGGGGGGGGAGCGTCAGGAGGCGGCTGTTTTGAGGACAGAGCGTGTGATTTTCCGCTTGCGTCTGCGCCGCCCGGGTTTGCTCTCTGGATGCGCCGAGGTTTGACACGGCTCCCGCCCCGGGGAGCTGCAGGGGAGGGATGTCCCCAGGTCCCGCCACCGCCGTGTCGTGAGACATGAGCCAGGCACGGTGCTCGCACGCCCTGGCTTCAAAATGGTGCCGTTCGGAAGGTGAAGCATCCTCCTTCCCGCATCCCCCGGGAGTGCGGGGCCGTGTGGGGGGCTCCCTGCACCCCCCAGATCCCAGCTGGGGCCGTGGGGCCGGCGGCTGCGGGGCTTGGAGCCGCTAAACCCCTAATCCTCTTAGGGGCTGGCTGCCACGCTGCCCTGGCACGTCTGCTGCCTGCGCTGCCAGGCTCTGGGTCTAACCCCGGGGGTGGGGGGGCAGGTGCTGGCCCCCTCCTCGCTCAGAACCAGGATGGGGCAGCTGGGGGCTCGGCGGGAGCTCGGGGACCATCCTCTTCCTCGGCTCCGTTGGTCCCCGTCTCGAGCACGGGATGCTGTTTTGTCCCTCTATTCCCGCTGCAGAGCCCTGAGGATCCCTCTCCGTCCAGTTGGAAATAAGGAATAACACAGGAGAATGGGGAATAACGGATCGAAATAGGGAATAGTGGATGGAAATAAGGAATAACGGATGGCAATAGGGAATAATAAGAGCAAACAGAGAATAATAAATGGAAATAAGGAATGGTACATGGCAATGAGGAATAATTAATGGCAATGAGGAATAATTAATGGCAATGAGGTATAATAAAATGGAAATGAGGAATAATAATAGAAACCTGGTGTTTTGTCTCCCCCGGGAGGGGCTCACTGGGGTACGTGTGCCATAACCCTCTGGGTTTTGAGGGCTGTCCCCTCCTGCTCGTCACCAAAGCCTGGTGGGCCACCATCATCCTGCAGTGCCAGTGCCCCCCAAGTCCTGGGCTGGGGACCACTGGGCTGGATGCTGCCCCGAGGCTGGAATGTGCGCTGCATGAGAAGGTTGTTGTCCCTTTGGGGGGGGACGGGGGGTGATGGGGGACAGTTTGCATGTGGCGGTGGCAGTGGTGGCATCCGGCTGGTGTCACTCCTCCCACCAGCACCCAACCCAGAAGGTCCTGATGCTGCATGGGGGTAGGAGTGGGCTGCATCCTGTGGGACCGACGGGACAGCGGTGACATCTCCCCAGCCACCCTGTGGGGTGTGTGGGGAAAGGGGGGGTCCAAGCCCCCGGTGGCTTTTCCTGCTTTTGGTGGTGCCGTTTCCTTAAAATAAGGAAGAAGGAAGGCAGCTGGAGGGTAAAAACCCACCCGTGGGTCTGCCAGAGGCTGTCCACTGGCAGGGGACAGGCAGGAGCCAGCGGTGGTTGCAGCTGTGGCAGGGGGAGTGTGTGGTCACTGCCACCAAGGGACAGGGCTGACCCACACCAGGAGGGGACAGGGATGGGCCAGGGTCAGGGGTAGGATCAGCGTCAGGGTTAGTGTCGAGGTCAGGATAAGGGTCAGGGTCAGGATTAATTTGGGTCAAGGTCACGATAAAGATCAGAATCAGCATCAGGGTCAGGATTGGGGCTGAGGTTAGTGTCGAGGTCAGGGTCAGGATTAAGGTTAAAATCAAGGTCAGGGTCAGTGTTTGGGGTCGGGGTCAGGGTCAGGATTAGGGCTATGGATAGTGTCACGGTCAGGATAGGGGTTGGGGTGGAGGTTAGGGGCAGGGGCAGGAGAAGGATCAGACTCAGGGCTAGGGTCAAGGTCAGGGTTAGGTGAGGACGCTGAGTGCATTTCCCTTACCTTTCCAAATCCAGTCCCCAGCTCCGTTTCCCGGGGCTGTCGCGTTCCTTTCCTGCCCCACTGGTGGTGCTGGGGGGGAGCGGGGACCTCCCGGGCCCCTGGGAGAGCAGCAGCCCCCGCAGGCACTGGGGTGCCTGGGCTGTGTGTGGGATGGGGCCAAATGGAGCAGAAAACGCTCTGCTGTGCCCCAAACACATAATTTATTTTATTTTATGTATATATTTCATTTATTTATTTTATTTAGGTAATTTCACTAGATAGAAGGAATTGGGGATGCTCATCCCAGCCCAGACCCGCACTCGGTACCCGACTTTTGGGAGAAATACTGCTCCCAGTCTGTGAGGGACCATAATATTTATCTCCACGGGGTGGAGAAAGGGAAGAGAAATCAATAAGCGGCTGTAAAACATTTTGGAGAGGTTCTCTGCAAAGCGCTTTTCTTTTCTTTTATTTTTATTTTTATTTATTTACCCGTTTCATCGGCGGCCAGGCCTGGAGGATGCGGGGCGATGGGCACACACGGCCACGGCACCCGCTCCAGTGGCTGAAATGGCCCCGTGAATTTTCCAGAATTGGCTCAATTGTTTTTTTTTCCCCCATCAGGAATAAAAGAGGCGCTTGCAGCCACAGGCAGAATGCCACGGCAGGCGACGGAGGGACACTGGGGAGGACGGTGTCAGCTCCGAGGGGGTTGGGTTTTTCCTCCTGGATCTTTCTGAGCATCCCAAGGTGTATCTCCCCCCATCCCGGGGGACAGCGGTGGCATTTTGGGCTGGACATCGCTTTGGTGGCTCTCGGGGCAGATACTTTTCCGAACACCAGGATGTCCACAGGTAAAAATAAAGACTTCAAACACTGAGGCTTTATTCTCTGTGCAGCAAGAATATTCTGCAAGAAATAAGGACGTTTTATTTGGTGTGTACGAAATAAGGATGGAGGGAATAAAAGCACCGCCTGGGATTTTTCCAACAGGATTCGCAGGAGGGAAAAACAGCCTTTAAATAGCTGGGTTCCACCTCTGCACTTCGGGGTGCTGGTGGCTCGCCATAGACAGACTCCCCCCACCCCGCCCAGGGATTTTGGCTTTGCCGAGCGATGCCGCGCCCCTGGGACGGTGCTGGCAGCATCCCATCCCCGCAGCCCTGGGGATATTTTTATCCTCCTCGGGAGGCGGCAGCGCTGACAAACTGAAATATTCATGGAGCGGGCTGAAGGCTCCGTCCCCAGCAGCCTCGGGGCCCTGCGCTTCGCAGGGGCTGGGCTGTGATTTCTCAAATCGGGACCGGAGCGTGGTCAGGATGCGACCCCGGGGTGGGTTTCCCTCTGCTGGGAATGCTGCGGGAGCGAGGAGCAAAGGGCCCCGAGCATCCCGTGGGGAAGGGATGCCGACACAGAGAGCTCGCAGCCGGGAAAGGGGCAGGAGATGAGGAAAAAAAAGGCTTTTCTGCCTTTAAAACTCTGTCCCCCGTTTCGCTTTGATTCCTTCGGTTTTCCCAGCAGCGGGCAGACGGATGGAGGAAACTCCGGACCAGCCTTCCCTGATCATTCCATCCCATTTTTCCAGCCTAGCTGGAGGCGGCTGGGGGCTGAGCCCTGGCACTGTGCCCATTGGATGGGCATCGCTGCCCGTAGCCCTGGGTTTGGGACACGGGGACCGTCTCTCCGGGTCACCCGCCGGGGCAGGAGGAGCCCGGGATGCGCTGGAGGAGGCGCCGGCGGGGCTGTCTCACCGCCTCTGGCTGGATGCTGCAGCTCCAGAGTCGTCCCCCCGGGGGATTTGAGCAGCGATTTGAGGATATAAATATTTGATGTTTCGCTTCTCGCCGGCTGAAACGGCACCAGGAAAAATCCGCGGCTCCGTTTGGCTTCGGCCAGATCCTGGTTATGAGCTGCCGGGCTGCGTGTCCCTGGGAATGCGGTGACAAGGAGGTCTCAGACGGTGGCAGAAGCTGGGGACGGCGCAGTCCCGGGACCGGGATGCCCGGCGCTTCCAGGGGTTGCCTGGAGAAGACCCGAGGGTCTTTCTCCTCCCTCTGACACACGTGATGGATGCTCAGCGTCTTCTCTGAGTTGCGTGGTTGAACCTCACCTCACCCACCCGCCCTCTGAGCTTTGGGGGCTCGAGAACCTTGGATTTTCCTGTGGGTACCAGCCCCCAGGCACGGGTGGTGACACCGGAGGGGGATGCAGGACCGGGATAGAGCCAGCATCATCCCTGACTGGGATGGCAGGACAGACCCGGCCGTGGGAGTCAATGCTCCCGGCACGGGATGGCCTTGGCCAGATCTGTGTGCCTCCCCCTGCCTGCGCTCGGCTGCCCAGAGGCTATTTTTAGGTTGGAGCAAACAGAAATCAGGGGAACCGGCCGGAGTCAGCGATTAAAGCACGAGGCGATGACATATTTATGGGCACGCTGCAGCGAGGGGGTGGCCAGGGATGGCAGGGACAGGGGTGTTTGGTGGGCAAGGGGGTCCTTGGGGCATTGTGGAGATGTCCCATCATGGGCATCGTGTCTCTCTGCCTCTGGAGACACATCCTCGCTCCTGCCCATCCCCACGCTGGGTGAAGAGCTTCCTGGGAGCTGGGTACGATGGATTTTCCTCTTTGGAGAGAATATCACCATGAAATCCCCCTCGTGCTTTGAGTTTCTGTCAAGTCCAAGCCTGGGAGCTCCTCGTCTGGGGTGGTTTGAGCATCAGAGCAGGGGGGGACAGTGTTGGGGACACGGGGTGGGCACTGGTGATGGATGGTCCAGCCAGATGGAGACGTCTGGCATCGGGAGACGCTCCAGGGAGGTGCCAGCTTTGCTGCAGCTCCCCAGGTCGAGGCACTGGCAGCTCGGGTAGTATTTATTTGGAAATCAACTTAATTTGCTTGATTGGTGTTGATTTCTGCTGGCAGCAATTAGTTTTTGCAGAAGCGAACGCCCGACCAAATTGTCGCTGCGTCCCCCCCTCGCTTGTTTTTGACTCTTTTGACTCTCCATATTCATTGTCCCTTTTCTCCCCGGGATGCGAGTGCCTGGGTGCTGGCTGAGGTGGAGAATTGCCTGGATTTGTGCTGAGAAAAACCACTCCGGGGTGAAAATCTGGAGGGGAAGGGGAGGAGCGGGCTTTTATTTGCCTAAAGGAAAG